AATATTAATGATGAAGATAATGATAGATTAAATTATAAATAAAAATTTATTTATTAAACCTAAATGTTTTTACTTCCGTTCAACAAAAATAAAAATTATAAATAATAAATTCAGAAAATTAAATATTCATATTAACATTTTATTAAATCTACGATTATATAAAGAAGAAGAACAATTGCTGTTCGATCTTGAATAATTTAATTCAATTATTCAGCAAGTGAAAAATTGGGATTTAATCTCTTTTTTTTCTTACATTTAATATATTACACTTATTTAATATAAACTTTATTAAATAAATAGCATTAGATACAAAATTATTCAATATAATATTCATTATATATAACAGTTTATTATTACAAATTTTAACTATAATACCTGCAGTGGGTTTATGACCAAAAATACCACAAAAGAGAGATGGTATCCTTATGGAACCAGCTATATCCGAACCAAGTCCTATGAGTGATGCTCCTGCACCAAGTAATGCTGCCTATAAAATGTATAATAAAATGTAAATATAATAATATATTTTTTAAATGCATAAGTTATTAATTCCAGACATTCTAATAAAGTTGAATTAATATTATTAACAAAATTTACAAATTATAAATTACAAATAATCAATACAATATGTTAGTAAACTTTTTTTTCATGATTTCGAAGAAGAAATTAAAATTTTAACAAATAAAAAATTCTGAATTTAAAATCTTTATTTGTAAATAATTATTAATTAATAATTGCATCATATTAGTTGGCAAGAGATCATTAATGGCTCTTAGATATTCATAAGAGTCATAACAGCTTTGTCATTATTTGCATCAAAAAATGAAAAAATATTTTGTTTTTATTGTATTATTCAAAGTAAATTATAGTTTTATATACTATTAAATAAGTATATTAAAATATATTTAATAAATAAGTAAGTATTTCAACATATGGAGATTTATTAATTCTTAAAATTAGGAAATTAATTAAATATGTTTAATTTTATTTTTTTAGAATGCGATACTAAAAAAAATGAAATATTCGCTAAATCTTTGAAAATGATAAAATAAGTTGCAGAAAATTAATGTAGAGTAAAATAAAATTATATATTCACTCAGAAAATATATTTAAGAAATCGAGAAATATAAAAAATGATAGTAACAGCAATGATTAAAATAAAAATGTATTTATTTAATTATGAATACAGAAACTATGTATGAATATAATGAATTTTAAATTAATTATAAATATAGAATAATGAAATGAAAACAAAAAGTTTAAAATATTTTTATTTTTATAAAATTGCAAATCAAAAAATTGCAGAAAGATTTTTATTTAATTTTATTTTAAATTCAGTTAATAGTTGCAAATTAAATTTTTTATATTTTTATTTTTTATCAAAGAAGCAAAGATTATTTTACAATTTTTTCTTTAAGCTGAATTTCTATTCTGCACTTTCATTCTTTTATTTAGAGAAGAATGATATCTTTCAATATATCAAAAAGAATTAATTTAATAAATGTATTAATTTGAAAAAAATTTTTTACTACTTATTTAGTTTTATATTACATGAAATATAAAATATTAAATAAATAAAATATTAAAGATTTTTCATTTCAAATATAAAATAAAAAATCGATTTTGAATAGATAAACATTTTATAATAGATAAACATTTTATAATATAGTTCAATAAAAAAAAACAATATTAATTAAATTTTATATGAATAAATTAATAATTATAGTTTATTAGTATCACATATTATTAAATATTTCGTTGAAAAATATTTTTTACGATTAAATAATAAATATAAATGAAAATTACAGTTTTTTACGATTTTATTTTTAAAGTTTTTTATATCTTTTGATGCCTATTGCTTGTTTCTATGTTAATTAATTTTAATAAATTTTACAGCATACACTATATAACTAAAATAAATATTTAATATATATTTTTTTATTAGATAAAAAGTTATTAAAAGCGATTTTCATTATTTTTTTTTGTGATTCCAACAAATTAAAATTTTTTTTTACATGTTATCTAGTAAATTAATCTTTTTAATTTCTCAAAACAATTCAAGATAATTAATTTAATTTTAAATTAATTTAAATAAATAATTAAATTAATTTTAAAAAAGTTATCATATTTGAAACATCATTTGGAGCTATTGATTTCTTTCTTGATATATGTTACATAAAAAAAATATTTAGATAAAAATAAGTTTTTAATATCTCATGACTGGAAATGATTGAAAAAAAAAAATCACAATTTTGAAAGAAATAAAGATAAAATTGAAACCGATTAAAAAATTATGACATTATCTATTAAATCAAAACTCTGAAATATTTATTGAAATTTATATATTGAAATATATTTATTGAAATATATATATTGAAATTTATATATTTAATAATATATTTATAAATCTTACAAATTTATGTAATATATTTTATAAATCTTACAAATTTTCTTAATTCCATTTGAAAAAAATATATCATTTATCATATGACATTTAAAAATTTTACAAAATAATTTCTGTGAATATTTTCCTGTCACAAATAAAAACTGAATTAAAAATTCAGTTATATATAAAGTACAAGAATTCATAGTATCAATACAAAACCAATTTATTACGTAATAAAATTATTATGAAAATTTTTAAATTGTAATCATAACTCATATACAAGCATATTTTCCGCAATTATCTAAGAGATTTAAAAGTATTGATGCATTTTCATTAATATAAGAAAAATTAGGAAGAGCTGATACACTTTAGAAAAAAAAATTGCATATAAAAAAACTAAATAATGTTTTAATAATGTTTTTGTATATTTATTTATTTCTATTCATTAACAAAAGCAAACATAAATTTTTTAAACTTAAACAACAAATATTTTTTGATACATAATTGTAAGAGACATGAAACATAAAAACAATTTATTTCATATAAATTTTATAATGAAATATTTTTGTTCAAATGCTTTAACATATTATATGTGATATTATTTAGAATACATTTGATATTAAATTCATGTTTTTTTTTGGAAAATTTGTTTCGAATGTGAATATAAGAAATTATAATAAATGCAAATTGCATTTTCATTTTCATAGGTTCTTTTTAATATTAGTATATACATTAATATATATATAATATAAGATCATAATTAAAATTTGCTGAAATTAATAAATATTCTGAAAATAATTTTTGTTCTTCGTTTTTAAATATTTGTATATTATGTCATATGGATATTATGGATATATTATATGTTATAAAATTTGGATAAAAAACTGTATTTTTGTCATTTTTATATTTAATTATATATTTAGATAATGTCATTTATTATCAATTTTTTACTTTTTAACTATTGTCTTTATTAGTTTATTAGTTTATTTTTATTAATAATTTCCAGTACAGAATTTTTCATATTATGATGAATTTATTTGATATTTAGATTAATTTAAATCATATCTGTTAAAATACAAATTTCATAGCCATTATTTAGTTGAAGAATATTAAAAAAATGTAAAGTTAAATTATTTTGGAAATATAATATATATATTGAATCTTTATTTATGTCTTATACCTATCAAAATATGGAATTTTAAAATATTAATTCTAGCAATATTTAATCTTAAATTGAAAGCAATAAAATTGATACATATATGTAATAATAAATATATTTTCACGTAAAATTAATGATATTTCATAAAAATCAATATAAAAATCAAATATAAAAATATGATGATAAAAATTTTATATAAGTAAAATATACATTTTTTAAAACAAATATTTATCTTCTTTAAATAAAATTTAATAAAATAGTTTTAGATTATTAAATTTGCTTAAAATAATATACGTGATCTACACAGAACAATCTATAGTGAAGTATATAAACTTCTCTTTTATTTTTAATATAAGAAATATAAAAATGTATCAAATTGCCTATGTATCTTCTTAGTCTCCTCTATATGTATGAAAACTCATTTTCTATTCTTATTTATTTTAAAAATAATTATTTATGTAAATCTATAACAGTTTAAAAAATGTAGAATTACAATTTATTATTAAATCTAATATAACAAACTTGTACAAAATGCACAAGTTTTTATTAATAATAAATAAATAAAATAAAAATTAATAAGTAAAAAATCAATATTATTATTATTGTTGTTATTTTATTATTCTTCAAAAAAAATAAAAAATTAAATAGAAGGAGTGTGTATATTTATTTATAAAATTTCTATAATAATTCTATGTATATATTAAAGATTTAAATTTTAAATTAAATTTTATAGGTTCAAGACAACAAAAAAATGAATTGTTGAAATGTATAAATATTTAATATTATTTTAAAGATGTAATAAAATAAAATAAATAGATAATATTCCTAAAAATATTGCCTAAATAATAATTTACTATGATTGTAATTAGAATACTTCGATGAATGATACGAAAAAATTATCATCGTTTTTGAAATGTCATCGTTGACTTTTTTTATTTAAAAAATTTTTTTTTATATTGTTACTCCATAATTGTTATTAATATATATATA